GGTTACTCAAATACAATAGTTGTCTTTATTGATTTTTAGCAAGGGAACTGGACTTCACATTATTCATTGATGGCTTATAAATTTAACTTTGTACAGTTGTAGGAGAAATGTGTCCTGTCTAGCCCCCTCTGCCCAAAGCAAATGTCATCTCCCCTGAGTGCCACAGTTGTAAAATATGTCTCCTTCCTCCGAGCTCCACTGCAACTTACCTGGTACCCTTCCTACTCCCCATGCTGCCTAAACCAGTCTCTCAGTATCTATCTGTGGAAGAAAAGAAGCAGAAAAATAAATAAGCACAGCAGCTTCACAGAAAGAGTGTGGGCTCTGAGTCAGACGAATATAACTTTGTATCTCATTTCGTCTACTTTTTCACTGTGTGACTATGGGAGTTGATTTAACCTCTCTGAGCCTCAGTTTCCTCATCTTTGTAATGGAACCTCCCTCACAGGGTACTGTGAAGATTAAATTGGATAGCACTAAGCACTGCTATGGGTTAAATGTGTCCCCCAAAAGTTCATGTGTTGGAAACTTAATCCCGCTGTAATAGTGTTAAGAGGGTGGGAAATCCTATTACAGATTTTGAAAGATGGGCCTTTAAGAGATGATTAGATCGCAAGGACTGTGCTCTCGTGTATGGATTGATCCGTTCATGGAGTAGTGGGCATGGTTCTGGTGGCTTTACGAGGACGGTGAGTGAGAAGGTTGGCTCTCTCTTGCTCGTGCCATTCCTCACCATGTGGTGCCCTTCTTTGCCACTCAGAAGAAGGACCTCACCAGAAGTGCCCCTGGACTGTGGAATTCTCCCAAACTGTAAGAAATAAATTTCTTACATTTGTTTATAAATGACCTAGTTTCAGATATTCTGTTATAACAACAGAAAATGGACTAATTCAAGCTCCTAGCAGATAGAGGCACTCAGTAAAGAGACACTTCCCCTTCCTCTATTCCAGCATATTATTCACGGTTCAATCCTGTATTCGTTGGTTGAACACAGGTTTGAAGGCAAAGTCTTGTTCATCTTTGTGTTTCCTGTAGAATGAGAGGAAATGAACTGCATAGTCTGGAGACACACTGTGTATTATACTAAAGTGGGGGCTGGGCCAGGATGTCCTAAGCTGGGGAATAATTATCTGTGGATTTTGGCTCCTTGGGCTCTTTTGGTAATATAGTTCTGCTCATGAGCTATGGCTCAGGCCACACTGGTTTTGAGATAGTCTACCATGTTTTAAATTAGCTTCTACAAAATACAACTCCTTTCCTAAATTCTAGGGCAGCTGATCAGAACACTGTTCCATTTCTCACTGTAGAAACTTCTGCAGGGATATTGACCTTACCCTGAGAGACACGAAACTGAATTCACTGCACTATGCTGGAAAAACAACAAGCTTCGTTGAAAAAAGCACTGAGTCAGATAAACATGGATTATAAACTCCAACTCAGCTTTGTCTAGCCATGAGACCTTGGGCAAGCTACCTATGCTCAGTAAGCCTCAATGAAAACAAATAGAGAGGTAATAACTCTACGCTGGTTGTTATACAGCGTTGTTGGGTGGGTAAGAAAAGTGATGAACAGACTTTAACGACTATAAAGCAGAATGCAAAAACAAAGTCTAGAAAGTCATCGCTTTGGGGCCATGTTGAGCTCTTCTTTTGTCACAGTCCAGGCATCCAGCCCTATTCCCTTCCTCGGCAACCGACCAGCTCTAATTTTATCATTTCAGTTCAGTCCAGCAGAAGAGCAGGGTGCATTTGTGTGTGT